TATGCTGATGCAGATGAACACAGGAAGTTTGGATTGCTGAGATCATTTAATAAACTAAGGGTGTTTCACACTCTTTTCTTGAGACAGGCAACCAAACGCTATGATACTCCATTTAGGTGCTCTCTTTCTTCCCGTTACCTCAATGCATTAACCTACCCTCACTAAGGCAGAGTAAGCAGGCTGGGATTTAACTTCACTTTTCAGCATTTGAAAAGAACAGGATTAGTTCCCATTTCACCCCCTCTCACCCCATGCCCCCAGCAGCCAGGGTCAGCAGCACATAGCAAATGCAGAGGGCTCCTATGTACACGGACACCCACAGCAGCAGCAGAGAGGGTATGGTCCCAAAAATGCCCCTGGCCATGCTAATGGCTGTGCCTTGAGCTTTCTCCTCCACAAAGGTGCCCATTCTTCTTCAGCTTAAGGCTTTCTTTCTATGTGAGGGGTTCTGTCAGCAGCTCTGTTAGCAAAAAGTCCAAGCAGGCTCCTCCTCTCCACTGTAGGAAGGGGACTCTGGGCACATGGCCAGCTGGTGCGTGCCACAGCAAGGTGGCCAAGATCAGGTGCTTCTGCTGCTAAAGGGGAAACCCAGAGAGGGGAGCAGTGCTGTCACCCACACTGGGCAGGCTGACCCTGTCCTGCTGCACCCACAGCTCCATACCATGGAGCTTATGAGCCAGTGGTTCATGAGAGCTGCTTAACTCACTCCTGAGTGTTGGTAACAAATAAAAGTATTTGTGGCATCACAAATGGGACACAAAGCACAAAGCTGACTCCTGGCTTCCCAAGAAACATACTCTTTCCTCCCTGAGGCTGCAGTTTGCTGCCTCAGCTCAGGCAGGCTTCCACCCGCCTCATAGAAGACAACACACACTGTCCCAAGGAGGGGAGAGCTCTCAGCAAGGAGCCCCACAGACATACCCAGGCTAGAATTGCTAGGCAAGAACAAGAACAGCTAAGATATGCCCCACCACACACACTCCCCTTCCCTCCCCTCTCATGCCGGAAGGATTATGGGGCCAGTGTAGGGAACTTCTTGTCCTGCCAGGGCATAAACCTTCCTCTCCCAGTCTCCAGGAGGCACAAAGCAGCTCTGAGAGGCTGCAAGCAGACAGGCTTTATATGGAGTTCCCACAAATATCACTGCTTTTATTTAAGGCAGAAAACACAGGATGTTACAGATGAGTGGAAAAATGTGATGTGCCCCACTGCCTGCAGAGCCCCTCAGACTGGACAATGCTTTTCTGGAAGTCGGAGGGTCTCCAGACAGGATTAGGAAAGCACATAGTGTCTGCTCTAACTTTTTATTTTTGCCCTGCTTGGCTGCAACTACACCTCCCTGCACCCCACACACAAACACCCTCCCAGCTAGGGTCCCATACCTTCCCTCCCACTTACAGCTTCCCATAGCCCTTTTGTATTTGACTCCTGGGAGGCCCTTTTCAAACTTTTTTGGCAGCTCCATCTCTTTGAAACACTGGAAAGCTACCAGCGAGAAGCCTGGCTCCGGCTCCCTGCCACCAGTGCTGGCAGCAGCTTACCCTGTCCTCTGCCAGGCTCTGCCCCTCTGCAGGAGCCTGAGCAGCCCCAGCCCAAGCTGGGCAGGAGCCACTGCCACCCCTGCCCCTGTTCACCTTCACATGGGCAAGTTGTAGCATTCAGTGGCTTAATAGCTTGCACAGCCACTGCTTTATAGCACCTGCCAGCATTTACGGAGTGCCAGAGTTCCCAGAACTCTGACACCTGTTACAGAGTTCCCTTACACAGCTTTGGGGGACAATCATCCAAAAGATTTTATGTATTCCTGTTTTGATGATCATGCAAGACAAAGGCAGCCACAGGTATATTATTCCTCCCTACTGTTACCATATGTTTTTTATTCTTCAAGCTAAACAGCTACCAGCCAACCTAACTAACATGTCTATCAAGATAAATTGGAGACATCTCAAACATTTAGTTTCCAGAAAACCAGCACTGACAACTTACTTAACTGTCCACACATTTGTTCACTTCTGCTCCTTACCTTGCAATTGCTGGAGAGCTAGAAAACAGCAGAAGACCTCAGAGTAAGGCACAAACCACATTACTTCTGTTACACCAAGTTAGCCTCAATGCCACTACACTTAATTTATACTGCTTGAAACCTGGCCCAGAGTGCCTCCTAATTGATTACAACTAGAAACTGTTGATTGGCTTGCCCCTAGTGTCAGTGACCACAACTACACAATTGGTAAAAGAAGAGGCAGTTACTATTTTTTAACCATAATTCCACTTTTTGAGCATAGTAAAATAGCTAAGCAGTGTATTGAATGACATAGTATTACTCATATGCTTAAGCACCTGAGTCCTTGATCTTGTGCTTTATAAAGTGCTCTGAGCTGTGCTGTAATTGCCTATAAATATGCTGCTGATCATGCTTACAAGGACACTGCCAAGGTTGGAAGGTCTACAGATTGACTTAGTAAAGTGACAACTTAAAATAGTTTTATTCTCAGTGTTCCTAAATTACCAACCTGTGTTTTTTCTCATGCTTCTTTTTATCAGTCCAGCTCCTAGCAGTAATAAGGTTATGGGAGAATGTTCACTTCTAAAGCAATGGACCAGGTATAGAAATAGTATGACAGAGGCTAATGTTCCCATCCTGAACATGCAAATAAAAGCACTTTACTGTAAAACCTATTCTTCCTGATGTGAATGGGCATGACCTCTATTGCCCTTATGCTTTGCCATAAGGTCACCCCTTGCAGACTACTGCACACCAACGTCTTGTGAAAGAAAGAGCACAAGGCTGAGGCGATCAGGTCTGGGCAAGTCTGCAGCTTCACCAAGTACCCATTTTCCATGGTGTGTCTTTGTCAGCAGGGAACAGAGTTACAAAGCTGGTGAGGAGCCTGCAACTTCATCTCATCCTCAGCAGTGCTGCTGGGAATGCAGAGGGGTGATGGGATGGGGAAAACACAGGGATGAGAGCCCTTTCCCGCACTGTCCTTTCTGTGAGCAGCTCTGTGGCTGAAGCCCAGCGGCGGGGGAGCTGAAGCCAGCTATTGAGGAGCTTTTTGATCTCAGGCAAAGAGCAGTACTGGACTTTCTTTAAGGAAAGAATACAAATAGCTGAGGACTGAAAGGTAGCCTGGGATTTTTCCTTTCCTGAAGGGCTTGGTTTGTTTCCGAGCTGAATAACTCAAACTCCCTCTGAGCTGCAGTCCTCCAGCACACTCTGTACTCATGGGAAACCTGCAATGCCACAGTAACCAAACCCACAGATGCCAGTAAATTAAAATGTATGGCTCATTGGTGCCAGGGACAATGCAAGGCAAACAGGGAGAAAGTGCAAGCAAAAGCTGTGTTGATAGTTCCAGAGTGGCTAGTAGAAAGGCATTTTTGGAAGACGTGGCCTTGCCCCCTTGCAGTATTCTGCTAGCCTCTGTGCTGCAAGGTTTGAAGACAAAGCTCCTGAGTTTCCACAAACATGGGCCTAGAGCTAGGCTTCACCTTCCTTTCTGTCTGGAAGGTGAAAGATTTACAGATACCCTAGACACGAGGCAGCGTTTTGAATGTCCTTATCCATCACAGGTGTATGCTGGACACAGGACAGACATTGTTTAAACTCTAGGGATTTGAGGGAAGCCCTGGCAAAACCGTGTAAAAAAATTCAGAAAGAACCAAAACCAAAAAGAAAATAAATGTCTCTGGAGCCTGGGAAAAAGGCACACCTCCAGCAGCCATGGGGCTGGTGAGTGCCTGTGTCTGGTGGCATCACTTGATGCTGCAGTTCCTCAAAAAGGTGGCAAGAGTAAAAATCTTCTTCGCTTTTTTTCAGTTTCAGGAAAGAGAAGAAAGTAAAAAAAAAAAAATCCTCAGGCTGAAGATGCCACAGAACAGAAAAAGGCAATTCTAATGTCAGTCTAACAACAGATATGGCTCAAAGTTTCAGCAGGTGGGAAGGTGCTCCCCACGCTTCCAGTAGGCATCCAAGAGAGCAGGGCAGCGTAGGGGCTATGTCTCTCACTCGGGTAAGCCTTGTAAGGTGTGAATATGGATAAAGACTTGAAAAATCTCATGTGTCTAACACCAAAGAGTGCATTTCAGGCTCTAACAGTTACAGAGAAACACTTGAAAGTGCAACTTGCATATATTTTAACAACTTCCAGAAACCAGAATAAAAGCAAAATGAGCCTAAAACCTGTACTTTAAAAAAATCTCATGCTTTTTAGGCAAAGCTTGTATCTCTGATTTGTTTTGAGCTGACTCCATAATTTTAAATGGTTGTCCTTGAGAATTGTAAGTCTTGTTTTATTTTTTGTAGGTTTATCCCATAGAAATGCTTAAAAAGCAATAAAGTCAATCTCAACAGCCTTGCTTAAATCCATGATTATATCAGTTCTGTGTTATGGGTATGCAGGGAGAAACTATCTGAGCAGGAAATTGTAAGGGATTCCTGCAACAATAGTTACATCGTTAGCACACGTACATACCATAATAATAACAGAAAAGCAATAACAACCTTGCAATTACAAAAAATACCCAATGCCCTTTAAAAATGTATGTGTATATTCTGTGTTTACCCAGATTAAGTGTCACTAGGGGCTAATATTTTATGTACTCTATATATTCCAATTGGTTTATTAAAGTTTTTTCTGTGCTACTTTTCTTCAAAACTGTGGTAGTGCCTTATGTTCATCAAGAGGAACCCAAGTTCCATGAAAGGTAAGCACCTGCAAGCCGAGAACAGGAGCGTGTAAGAAACCTGGATTAATTTAATGACAGTGCTTTATAATGGATGATATAAATTTTCCTGCTGTAGTTGTTATGTACATTCAACAGTTTTATTGTATGTCAGTGCACATTATTCGGCACAGCTGCTAGAGAGGCATTGCTGAACTGGTGTTTCTCTTCCATGACAAACACCTATTAAGCAGTCAGCATAAACTCTTCTTGTTACAGCCTCTGACATCACCCTCAGGGCAAGCGGACACAGAACAGCAATTGCTGAATCGCGTATGAAAATTATAGTTTTATTGTCTATACAAGTGAAGGTTTAACTCAGATTCCTGCTCGAGTCAGCTCTGTTATAAAGGAGTGATTCTTTCAGGGTACAAACAAGCACAGTACACCATTGTAATCAAAGGAACAGACACTATTTATGTATTGGAAAGCCTTGTTCACAATAGTGCTAACACTCTAATGCCCCAGAAGCCACTATTTTAGCAGCTGTAGAGAAAATAAAGCATGACTAACAAGATGCCATACAGAGTCAGATACAGTTTTTTTAGTACACAGATGGAATCATCCCGTTTAATATAATTCAGTTTAACGGCACGACCAATAAGTAGGAACCATGTATTTAATGTTTATATAAGCATTTTCTCCACCGTAGCGTTCAAAGGCTTCCAGTGTCTCTTGAATGAGAACTCCAATATTTTCACGCTTCTGCTGGCTGTATTCTATTCCATCGCCTAAATTAACTGGTTAATAAAAGACAAAAAAAAATATATTTAAAGTCTTATACTTTGAAATAATGACATAGGAAATTGCAATTGCTGGTCAGTCACTGTGCCTCTATTAGAAACTTTGTTCTGTGACATGAAACAGAGCTGAATTTGAAAATAGGATTGGTTTGGTATCTCTTTAAGGCTCTGCTCAGGCTCTAGTTTCATACGCCTTCAAAATTCATGTACACATTACTTTAGTATCTAAGAAAAAATCCTAATAAAAACAAAGAAAACACATTCTTTTATAAGATGAATATGGACTCTCTTACACTGTTAATCTCTTAAAACTGTTCCTTCTTTATTTCTAACATTGCTTATTTAAGACAAAATTCAACTGCCAGATGCATAAGCACTTCTCTACAAAACATGATTTAATCTAGAGTTGTTATGGTTTGAAACCTTAAAAAGGTATTGGTTTGGGATTGCTCCCTGTTAGACATCATATTCAAACACTTTTTTTGTTTCTAATAGAGGGAATGTCATCTGGCCTAAAAGAGATTTTTGGAGTATAACATGGTACTCATTAAATTTCTGCTTCCTGAAAAATGTGTAAAAGTAAGTCAATGTCAAAAGGAAAAATTGTTGCAGACCCCAGATGCAGTAACGTTTACTTCTGCTTTCTCTAACATGGACTAGCAAGGGTGACACATGATCATACAACACAGATCATAATTCTTTAAAAGTCAGTGTGAACAACTGCGACAACAAAGTAAGAACAATAAGAAATAACTTCACCTGTCAAGATGCTGAGAGATTTAAAGGAGGAAAATATAATTTGTTTGGGTTTAAAACAATATTCTGCAAAGTATCTGAATATATATTCCAAGATATATATGAAAAATAATTTGGTAGGAGCACAGTGTACTCAGATGGTGGTACGTGGTGTGTGGTGTAGTGGCCAGGTGGGGCAGCTGTCACACTGCTGTAAGGTAGCCCACACGCAAGCAGCCAGTGGCCTCACTGTAGGCAGCAGGGACAATATGCCCATAAGAAACATTTAAGATCTCAAACAACACTGCTTGCTCATTGACACTCTCAACCAGGCAGTAAAAGACAGGCTCCTCAAGACAATGCAACCAACTCCTCGGGTATTGCTGCCTTTCACATTAGAAACACGGCGTAGATTTTGCTCCCACTGCAGATTCCCTGGTCGATGAGACATAGATGTACAACTTCATGCATCCTCATATCCTCTCCTAGATCTGAGGCCAAGACTCTGGATTTAAAGCTTGTGACTTTGTTATCAGAAAAAACTGAAGAACCATGCTTGTGAAAAAAGAGCTGGTAAACATGGGAAAAAATCATCATTTTGCTGAATTTTCCAGTAATATATCTGATTGCACTCCAAGTTAATTATGTGTATACCAGTTTTTCAAACTGCTTACACATATTTATGTCACTTTGCTTTTTATGAAATAGTTACACAAATACAGATGTGACATGCAAGGGCTGCCCTTCTGAGTGGAAAGGTAGTAATTTTTTTAAATGATGATTACTTATAAGCACACAAATATTTTTGAATACATTAACTGTTAATTTCACTGACATTAGAAGTCAGGATTGTGACATCAAAATTTATTACAATGAATTTACTGTAATGTTAGAAATAAGAGATTATGAGAGTGTATAGAAAACACAAAGAGCTATTAAAAAAGGGATTGGCTTATACAAAATACTAATGCAAAAAGAAAAGCACATCACAATTGAGTGCAATTTAGAGTAAACATGGTTTGCTCTTGCAGAAAACAACTGAGATAACTGTGCCTCATCACCTGTCTTGCTTGTACGCTGCCAGCACTCTCCAGAACACCTGGAGGTATTTCTGATTTCACCAGTCTGAGCAAAGGAAACCCTGAACCTTGACCTAAGTCTTGGCAAATATGTAAAGGAATTACTGACTTTCCAACCATATGTCTATTATCTGTAATTTTAAGCCTACACACATGCTCTGCTAATGAGCTTACACAGCTTTCATCATTCTTTCAAAGAAGTAGGAAAAAAATCAGCTGTCTGGAAGTAATGGGGATACATTGCTAAAGAAGTTTGGAGGAGGCCAACAAGACTCTGTGATAATGCTGGTAGAAGAGGTATTTTCCAGAATTGCATGTTACACTCTTTATTAGAAAGCATACTCTGTACAAAAAATGACATCTTAGATGCTTGATTAAAAGGTACCTAAGAGATGGAGGCAATGATGAAGGAAATAGTCTGCAAGCAAAGACCGAATGTGTGATGTGCAGACCGTCATTACAATTTTTTTTTCCTACAGACCATCTGTGCTATATGAAGGTTTGTATCCTCAAGATAGCCATAATTCACACTAATGTCATGACACAAGCTACAACCAACAATGCTAGAAAGGTTATGTCAGCATCGAGGTCACCTGGTAAGTACTAAAATAGCTATCCTATGTAGTTACAGGAATTAACAAATCTTTCAGACAAAAAAGATAATCATTAACCCAAGAGGACAACATCCATTACATGGATGAGTCAGAATGATCTGCCCAATGCACCTAAGGGTAAATATCTATTCATAATAGTAATGATGATTAGTTGGAAAAAAATAGCCATTGAAGTATAGCAGACTCAGCATGCCCTTCTCTGGTTTGACTTTATTTCCAAGTTAGTTTGCCTGAAAAGCCAGCTTTGTCAGTCACAAAAATGTTGCGTATGTAAAGTGTGAACATGGATCTGATTCAAGCTCTTTATGAAATTGTCCTTTATGAGGGAGAATAAATCAACATGAAAATCCTAGGAAGCACATTCATCATATCTTTGTGTCCAAGTGAAATGTATGGCAAATTCAGCAGTCATCAAGAACTCTATTCAGAACAAAAGTTATTTCTGTGTTTGGAAGAAATGCACAGAAGGACTAGTAACAGATCTAGAGGATTACAATCAGGAAAAGATATCATTTTCCCTTCCTAGACCAAAAAGTTAGTTCCCAATCTCCCAAATCATGCACCAAAGGTTTTATGGTCCTTAAAGCAAAGTGAAAGCCTTTGCACCTGTCAAGACCTGTGTTAGCTGATGAAATCACGCAGCACGCCAAGCCCAGGAGTGGCACTCACTGCCCTGCCAATGCCAGCTGCTGTAGCCAAGGAAACCCTGCTCAGATCCTCAGGGACTGAACTCAGCATTTGGCAGGGAACATCTGGCAGAGGATTTGAATTTTGTTTTAAAACGTGGCTTGTATTTGAGTTTAGACATGGTTCTATTAATGATTCAGGATATTAAAGAAATTCTGGTATTATTTGTATTCCATCTCATTTTGTTTTGAAATTTCACTAGGGTAATGCTAAAAATATAAAATTTTATTGCATTAAAGAAGGACAAGCAAGTTTCTCCCAATGCACTAAGAGCCCAATATGGCAGCTTTGAAGTTCTGGAGTGGACAAGAAGGGTAAAACAACCCATAAAGCTCAGTCAGATCTAGTCTTAATTCTGGACATTTGTTAGCATCTGAAAGTGTCCAAGACATTCTTTCAGTGTATTAGATTTCACTTCAAGGTAGGCCAGATCTCAAAAAGAAGGTTTTTTAATCCCCCAAATATGTTGCTTGTAAGTATGTCAGAGATATCAGAGTTCGGTCTTGGTGGTGATTGCTCCAAAGGGTTCTGCTTTATGGAAGACACAAATTAAAACATGAGTTTTCATGCACCTATTGTTGAAGGGATGTCATAGAACTTGGGATATCATATTTTCCCCATGTGTTAAATATCTGAGGAATGTTTAGTATTGGAGGGCATAATAATACTTAAAAGAGATTTCTGAAGAGACTGTGAAGACAGTCCCATGTCCCCAGCTTAGGTAACATTTTTAATCAAATTATAACTCAAAGGCTATTCCTTTATTCTTTAATGATGAAAGTGATTCTTTATTGATTTTAAGAACATACAGGCCTACACATATATTTCAACTTATTGCCTTGGAACTGTTGCCTAAAATGATTCTTAGCAGAAATTTTTGAAGTACTACTAGTTAACAACAAAGACCTCTTGTATAATGGCTTTGGGGTTTTTTTCTGGTTAGTTTTTTTTTTCTTGTTTGTACACAAATCAGTAAAACTACTTGGAAAGACATTCCTCCCTCTTTGAATCCTAAGAAACAAAGATACTGAAAGGTAAAGTGACTTGTTCCAAGTCATGGAAGGGATCAGTCACAAACCACGATTTTCAACTTTTTATTGCTGATGGTGAAAGTTCTGTTTATGGTAAAATGTAATTATGGTAAAAATCAGTTTTAAGTGGATCAGTTCATCCTAGTCCAACCAACATGTATTTTCAGCAATTAAAAGGTTTACAGAAATGCAACACGGTAACCTGAATGTTGCTTCAAAACAAAAAAAGCCAGCTGCAATGAGATTGAGCCTGTCACAGAACAAAATGCAGTTAAGCAGGACAAACTAGCATTAAAACATTTTGAGGAAAATTTCTGGACTTTTTTTCCTTCTGGGAGTTATCACCAATACCAAGAAATAAACAGAAGCTGATTTCAGCTATAGATTGACAGGCATCTATGTCAGGATTCACACTATGTAAGTTCAGAGCTCATGTGCAGTTCAGAGATTAATGAGTTTCTCAAAGTCTTCTTGTTAGGAAAAGTTTAATTGCCATAGAAGGTGTTGACTTACTGACTGGAGTGGAAAATGAAAGCCCCTGATGAGTCACTGCGTGGAGAGGGAGGAAGGCTCCTTTGCACCACTCCTATCATTGTGACTCAGAACCTGACTTTGTCAGATCCGGGAAGGATGAGGTAGTTTGGTCTCCCTGTTCATTTAATTGAAAGTTTGCGAAAAGTCACCTAACAGGTAAGACTCTAAACCCCTCCTGTCTGCTAAGAAACAGTGGGACATTGCCAGTTCATTTCACTCAGGGCAAGGAAGAGACACCAGGAGGTTATGGCTTCTGGTTGTTACTAACCCAGACAGAGAACTCCATGTTCCCTTCCTGAAGGCTCAGAGCAATGTGA